CAAGAAATTGGAAGGGAATTCCACAGGTGAGAAAATAAATTGTTAGAATAGAACAGAAGGTTGCATCTCCTTAGTTCAACAGTAAAACGATGAGACCTAGTTGCCAATCTAGTAGCATGCTTAAATTTATGACTATTGCCAATATTTGTAAGTCATTCCAAGAAAACTTGTCAGCTTCACTTGGGCAAATTTGATCCATTTAAAAGAAAAGAAAAGAAAAAAAAAACAAAGAATATTTATCAAGCAGACAAAAGATTGTAGTTTATCTTGTATAATATAAAAAAAAGAAGTGAAGGTTTTTGCTTCAAGAGAGTTTTAAAGCCAGTGAAGAAATAAAGAGATCTTGATAAAGGCTCAAGGAAAATTCAGTTCCAGAAAATTAGGTCAAGCATAAAAAATTTTGGAGATATCACTAAAAAAAGAAAGTGTGGGGTGAAATTAAAAGCATAAAAATTAATGAAAGATCATTAAAGAAGTATTGCTGTTAAAGAAAAATTTATTTTAAAAGGGTATGAATTCATAAAAGACAGTTACAGAAATAATTGGTGGTAAAAAAAAAATCTATTTTAAAAGGTAGGAATTAATGAAAGGCCATTATAATATCAAGTTTTATAAATAATAATTAAGAAAAAAAAAAAAATTAGTCCCAGAAAGTTTAGTCAGTAAAGATAAGTTTTCCTTTTCATGAATAAAGACAAAAGGAAAACTTATCTTAGCTAATGCATTTTGTCTTCTGATGGACTTTATCAAGGCAAAAGTAAGGATTTTATTTTGCAACATTTATAAACAGAAGTAAAAAATATTGTATTTTCAGAATTTTTAAAATTAAGAATGTTCATAAATATACATTAGGCTAAAGTGAAAGTAAATTATAGAGGATGCTAGGTGACGTAATTTGATGTCAAATAAATGAAAGTGAGTAAATGTTGCTATTGTTGTTGAATTTTCTTTTTATAATGTAATTATTATTAAACATTTATGAATAAAGACAAAGGGATAACTTAGTTGACACTAAATTATTATTTATATTATTTTAGTTTGAGATTAATTTATGTATATATTTTAAATAATAGGTTTTGAAAAATTTATATATAAATTGAAATGATAACTATTTACACTGTTTACATCATTGGGCTGGTACAAAATACAAAACCATAATTGTATTTATAAAAGATGGCCAGAAAATTAGGTCTAGAAAATTCAGTTTCAAAATTTTGCTAGTAAGTATGCCTCTGGATCATGTAATAATTTTAGGCCATGTTCAATGGATTTATCATTTAAATCATAACTGTACAAGTTGCTTTTTTTTTTTTTTTTTTTTTTTTAAAAATCACAAGACAACTATTTTGTAGTTTTAGATGTTATTTGAAATAGAGACATAATTGTTAGCAAAATCTTGAAACTGAATTTTCCAGACCTAATTTTCTGGCCATCTTTTATAAATACGATTATGGTTTTGTATTCTTAAAAGAATTGTAGTTTCCAAATGAGATATATTCATGAGTACAAACAATTACCATATGATCTTGTGTAATGGGAGTCCCTATTTTTGTATGCTAGAAAAAGAAAAAGAAAACCATTAATATATTTTCTTTTCATGTATAATGCATGGAAAGTGGAAACTATCAGTTTTCAGATGGCATGACACATTGTTGTTGTTGTTTTTTTTGTTTTTATTGATTTTAGAAACCAGTGGAAACCCTGGGCTTGGATATTTGTACTTGCTCTTAAGCAGTCAAAGACAAGAGTTTATATCAAATATACTATCCACATAGCCAAAGAAACCATTCATGAGAAGTTAACACTCCAAACCCCTTTTTGCCAAACAAAAACAGTTGTAAATGCCATGCCAATCAGCTGTTTATAAAAAGAACTGTCCTATATAGCTGTTAATTTGTTGCTATTTTTAAACAGCTGATTCATCGATTTTTTTTTTTTTTTACACTTTATGAACTCTTTGTAGGTTATTTAAAGTGAAAACATTTTTCATTATAAGAAAAATTCTCTTTCATGGTCAGTGAATATTGCATTAAGTTTTTGAGAATAACAATTTTTCCAGATACAAGCACTACTATTTAACCCATAGCTGGGGGATGTAACCAACCTGATTCAAAATCAAACTTGGCTATCTGATGTCTCATTCCAATCTGCTATATATTACATGATCCACACAATCACTAAACAAAATTGTCAAAATATTATACTTATACATGATATGGAATGTCCCCGTTTTGTGTTTGGGTGCTGATATAAGACTTTCTTATGTTGTACATTGGCAAAGTTTGTCATTATCACCAACCACATAGTTACTAAAATAATTATCTTGCTTAAACACAATGTATTTGATGATTCAAAGAGTTTACCACAAATGTTGTCTTCTTCCAAATGTACAATTGAATAATAAAAACGTTTGTGAATGTGAGTTGTCAAGAAGAGCAGTATCTGATGAGAGATCAGCTTTCACTCAACTGCTCTGTGCCACTTGACTGAAACTGAATTTATTTGCAAGCTGCCACATGTAAAATTGACTCAATTATCAGGACATTGCTGTATTTGACAACAGACAAGATATTCATAATTGTTTTGGAGAATCTATCAATGATCTCTTTTTTCCAACAGTTTATTGTCTAGGCGTTGTTTCTGTGGTTCTCATAATCAGAATTGGCAATGTTTAAAGGCTCAAAATTTTGTAAAGTTTGTTTCAAGACTTATTTTTTAAAAAATCCTCTTGACTACCTTGTAGACCAAATTACAATGAAAATTTGGCAATCTTGGACCTTCGAACCCGAAAAACAAAAAAAACAGTGTGTCAAAAGTACAGTTTTTCCTTTGAGACTACCATTATTTTAATTACTTTCACACCTCAGTTTTTAAAACAATAAACATTGCCAAAAAGGGAAAAACTGTCCTTTGACATTCCATTTTTTCACACACATGAAAGTTCAAGTTTTCTGAAAATTTCTGTCTTAGTCTGAAAATGGCTCAACCCAATTCAATGTTATGTTTTTTTTATAGTTTTAGTAGAGTTGTTCTTAGTGGGGAAATTACAGTGACTATTTCATAGATGAAAGTCAATGACTATTTTTAATGATGAAAGTTGAGCTGGAAGGCCTATTTACTGGTTATCAATATTTAATGAATAAATTCTATAGGTTTGGATAAAAAATTCAATGTTTATTCAAAACTTGATTTTAACAAAACATTTCTAATTTGTTACTCGGATAAATGATTGAAAATGGCTTCAAATTAATTATTCCTATAAATCTTAAAGAAGATTGTTCTTCATCAAGTCCTATAGATTGGTGCTACAAAATCACAAAGAACTTTAACAAATAGCAGAAATTACATTCCCTTGAAGACTTCCAAAAGCGGCAACAACAAAAAATGGGTAGCACATGTAATTTGAGAAAATAATTATATCATCAAGCTGTTAACTTTCCAGACTAGCAAAAACAAATGGTTTGAAAGAAAATGTCCATTAATATTAGAAAGAGCTATCATATTTAGTGGACATGAGAAGTCTAAATTCCTGAAAAACTGTTTTAAGAAAAAATTTCTTTTTAAATTTCAATTGACAGTAACATTAACTGTTTGGTCAATGAATGGGGAATGTTTCCAGCATGGAAATGACTCATAATTTACCATTATCTACAAGCATGTTTTGATTTTTGACTATTTTAAAATGTTCTATTTAACTGTGACATGGATTGAGGCCAATATTTCTATAAGTGAGTAAGTGGTTAGTACATGTGCATGCCACAGTAACTTGGTCATGGATTCTCTGATGCATACCAGGTCAGTATAAAACTTTATGACAGGTACAAACATGCACATCAAATTATGCTAAATATTCATCTTTATTATTTAATGAATTTGTTTGTTTGTTTAGTGGTATATCAACTTTATGTGCGTCATTTAATGCCAAAATTTAATTTTCTTGGAAGCATTAGTAATTTCTTTGACAAATGTATTGCTGTTAATTTTTTTTTTGTTACAAAATGTATTGCTGGTATTTTTACTATAAAATTTATTTATACTTTCATAGTATTTTGACCCCAGTTTGGAAGTTAACTATTTGTTCATAGCTGAAACTCTAACAGGTGCTAACACCCTGGGTCAGGGTGGACCTGGGATAAAACAGCAAGTAAGAGGTGGTTCCACACTTCTCAAGAGCCTCTCGATCAGAAGCCTTGCTGCTGGATGTAGTTTACTGCCATACCCAGCACGGAACCTCTATAGACTATTTAATGCTGAAATGTAATATTTTGTATGCAATTTTATTTCTGGAGATAATAATGGTTTAGTGATACAAGTCTTACTAATTAACTCATAGCGTGGAGGGAGAAATGAAGGATTCATACCTTTCCGAAGGGTATTTGTGCATAAGTGAATATAACAAACCCAACTGGAATTGGAACTCAACTCTCATTAATAATTCAGAAAAGAAGGCACTAGTTTGAGATATGTATTGAACCCCCTTCTCCCAAATAAGTAACAGTTTAATATCATTTTATTGTCATCATCTTTGTCATTATTCCAAGATTTTGATCAATATCAGGAATCCATCAACTTCAGTTTTGTTTGATACATCACTGGCTTGCATTTGCGATATTTCAACCCCCCACCCCCAATACTAAAAAGAGTGATAACAATTACTGGAACTTGTTTTCTTGAAAAATTGTTTTAAGAGAAGGATTTTATAAACAACACTATAAAGATTTTTTTTTGCAAGCATATTTTGATTGGCTCTTTTAGTACACTTTGTGATTAAATTATTGGTCATATTATTTGAGAACTGTTAGCATGACAATAAAAATGTACTCATCATAATTATCATTATCAAGAGTTTTCTGTATTTTGTAGAAATTTTAATTTTGGTTTGAATATCTGAAGGTTGATTTTTTGAAAGCTGATAATAGTACGCAAGTTATTTAGAATTTTATACATTTCTAAGCTAAGTTTACAAAAAATAGTGACCAAAAGAAGAAAAGGTACATTACCGTGATGATTCTTCAAGTTCTATAAATGATTCTGGATCTTCTATGTGGTCTGGGGGTGGATGTTTATCTAGCAGTGACCGGGACAAACCATGTCTGTAAGAAAAGACAAAAGATATTTCATAGAGAGAAACCATAAAAACAAACATTATAGTGGTTTTCTTAGTGTAGCTTAGTTGTGGTATGAAGCCAAAAGCTTGGTTATTTATTTTTTCTGTTAACCCGATTCTCACCCAATGAATTTGCAGGTGAACCAACAGGGAGCTTCTGAATTTCTATGATGTGATGACCACTCTCCAGGATCAAAAAAAATCACAACATGGTTGGAGGGTGGCTTTAAATTGACATTGGGAACTGGAGACTTGTGTCTAACCTGTAATACTGGACCAATGGCTGGTCTGGTGGAATGCGTGGGTCCAGTGGGGTGAGGATACGGTGTTACACTATGCTAATAGTTTCTTGCTGCCAGTCTAGTACTCGATTAATAAATAAATTTAATTTATATTCCCAACTGACTCAATAATTCTTCTTGATTTTGTGGATGCAAGAACATTATATATATATATATATATATATATATATATATATATATGTGTGTGTGTGTGTGTGTGTACACACACATGCATGTACAGGATGTGATAAATAAATTGTCATCTAAATTACGCAAAAATAAAAATAACACTGACATATCATTTTAACAAATATGTTTACCAATATTACACAAAAATATCTTGAAATAATAAAAAATAAAATGCTTCAATAAAATCGCCATTGACTTCAATCACGGCCGCCAGATGACTTCAAAATCTGCATTTTTTCTGGGCGGTTTTCTAGTTAAGTAGGTGTCTGCTGCCATGATCCTTGCCTTCAGTTCATCTTTGTAATTACAAAGAGTTTTGTTGATCTCTCACTCAACTGTACCCCACAGATAATAATCAAGGAGATTGCAGTCGGGGGAGTTAGGTGGCTAGATATAAGGTGTAATGTGCTTGCAGAAATTGTCTGACAGCCATGACTGGGTTCTCCTGCTTGTGTGACATGGTGCAGAGTCCTGTTGCCAGACACAGGATCTTCCAGCAGCCACCCTCTTGACTCAGGGAAGCACCACCTCCTCAAGGCACTTGATGTAGGCTTGAGTGTTGAGTGTGGGGCTCTGTGGGAAGATGAATGAAAGTATAATGTCTCCATCACTAGTGATCACTAAAAACCTTCATAATCACCATTAGACTCATCCAACTCTTTCCAAATTCTCTTCAGTGATTCAGATTGACATCCAAACACTCTGAAATGTTAGTATTGGAACTTGTTGTGGTGTCCACCCACTACAAGATTAGTAGTAGAGAAGGCCTTGGGGGAACAGTCGAGTAAATTGAATGCTGGGTCAACCAACACACACTCACTAGTCGTGTAATACTCTTCTGTTGTACTTATTGTTTAAGATATGATATATCTGTAACACTTGTTTTGTTACTTCTTTACCCATTTTACTTGGTCACAACAGAGCTTCTGGCACAAATGCCAAGCAGTGCACTATGCCGTTTCCAAATTTCTGGTGGAGTAAATTGCATCATGGTGCTCTTTTTCTCACTGACAGTGCCCAACTAACCCTACTATACTGTGTAGTTGACAAAATCAAAACCAATGCACATGTACAAAATTAAAAATATAAAATGATGATAATGTACCCACCGCACCCTGTATAAACATATGTAAGTCTTTGAAGAATTTACATCAGCAGGTTCAATTTCCTACATGGTTGTTTTAATTGCTTCTCATAGGCCTGTTTTGCTGCCATTTGCCAACTTCATATAATTTCATCTTCATAATTGACCATAGTTTTTTCGATTGGATTCAGATCAGGACTTGATAGTGGCCATTCCGTTATCTCCTCTCCTGCAAATTTTTTATGCTAAAAAATTTCAGGGGTAACCTTAGATACATGAGAAGAGGCATTGTTGTGCATAAATATAGACTTCACTTTGAAAATGTGAGACTGGAATGTGTACCATTCAAAGAAAGTCTTGTCCATGAAATCATAAGTTAGCACTGTTCAGTTTAACTCCTTCAATTTTGAATGCTTCAATAAGGGTTTGTCAACAATTCCAGCCCATATCATTGCACTGCTGCCTTCTTTTAGCCAGAGGCACATTTACATCAGATAAAATTCATCCGTTAGCCCATCCATTAGGTCCAGCGAGTATCACCCGACATTTGTCTGTGAGAATTAGAAAAGTCAGTTTTCATGTTTTTCTTGATGCAATTTTGATGCTTTCAAATATTTGTTTTGACAATCCCAATTTGTAAAGTATTCTACACCTTTTCTGCTTTTTGACAATCTCTATTCCAGCCTGCTCAATGGTCTGGTCAAAAGTGATTGTTTCACTATAACTCACTTTAGTTTATGTTCCCCTCAAGGAAACAAGTTCTTAAAGCCTTTTCCTTTGCTTCTAATTCTCAACTTAGTTATATTTTCAAAAACACTATTTAATGTTCAATGATCTCCTTTCCATTACCCATATTTCAACATATAGTATGAAAAAAAAAAAATAAAAAAAATAGTTTTTATTAAATTTCAGAGTCTATTTAAACTGGATATTAACTTCAGACACTTAAAAATTTAACTCAAGCTTTGTTTTGATTAAATTAATCATTTAAAATCTGACAAAAATTGATCAAAACAAATTTGAGTTATTGAGGTTTATTTCATTAGCATATTAACTTCAAACAGACTGTGTGTGTGTGTGTGTGTGTGTGTGTGTTTATATGCATATAACAACATATTATTTACTCACATAACCAAATATTAAAATCATTTTTTAATGGCAACATAACAGAAAACAAGTCCTTGTGTAATTGTAGAACCAGAACCAACTGCCCAGTTAGAGGAATCTATAATTTGGAAAATGTGGTATACCAAGCTACCATCTTTCCAAAAGAAAATATTGATGATAAAAGAGTATATATTGATATATCTGCTGGGAGTTGGAAACAAAGACTCTACAATCACTGGCATTCCTTCTCCAAAGATTCCTTAATACACCAAACTGCTCAATCTAAGCATTATTGGAGATTTACAGATAAAGGCTTCACACCACAAATTAAATGGGATATCATCTGTCAGTCTCAAACACCCAACTTATGGGATGTTACAGGAGAAAATCACAATAATTAAATATAAAAATGCTGGCCAAGTGTTGAATTAAAAAAATGAACTTATTTTCAAGTGTTGACATATGAACAAATTTAGAATTCCCTGAAAACATTGACACTGTGGGATATATACTTGAAATGTTGATTCTTATTTTATGAGTGCAAACATATGTGCGCATGTATATTCATATGTAGTTAAATTGCTTGTTACACATTTTTATGTAGGTCTGTAGATATATTGAATTATTAATGAGTATCTTGCTGATGCCTAGATCATAATTAATTTTATATTTTACTTATTTATTACTATTATTCATAGTGTTATATTTATTCTTTTATATTTATCAAATTTTTTTTATATATTCTAAATTTGTTTATAATTATCTAAATATATTTGATTTTATTGATTATTTTATTATATTTTTGTGTTGGATATTATTATTACTATTAGTTTAAAATAATGATGATGATTGTATTATGTAGTAATGATTGTCGCCTAAACTGACACCACTTTCACTGACTTTATTAGACACATTGTTGTGACACTTAACTTCCTATCCCTTTTCCTTCCTTTCTCTCTACCTTCCCTTATCCAATATATTAACTTCTTTTTTCTTTATGTAAGCCCTTTTAAGGAAATTTTTCTAGGTCAATCTTTTTATTTTTGCTATTGGCTCATCTTTTATTCCTTTCTTCTTTCATTTCTTTTTCTTCTCTTAATTTTTAATTTTTTTCTTTTTCCTTAATATTTTTTCTATCTTTTTTTCTCTCTCTTTTTTCCCTTTCTCCTTTTTATCCCAGTATATCTGTCTGAATGGATTGATTCCATTTCTTAAAAATATTCGGTCTGAAGAAATGAATATAACAATATTCATGAAATAAATTATAACCAATATGAATTTTTAAGGTGTTTTCATAATGTCTCATTATAAATTGCTCTGTAAGATACATTGAGCTTGCATTGGATTAACGTCCTCTTTAGAATAATCCCTACCAATTACAAATTAGTATTATATATATATATATATATATATATATATATATATAATCAACAGAAAACAATGGGAAATCACTCCACTATCTTTCTCAAGAAGACATGGAAATTCACAAAGAAAGAAAAGGAAACTGTGGAACTATGATCATCTACATCCTGAAGGGCTATAGTATAAGAAAAAAAAGAAAATTATTCTATTAAATTCTCAGTTGTAATTATTAGCAACCTGGTCTCATTACTGAGTGAGTATATCCATGAATCTTTCTCACAGGTCATATGAAAGCGTGTTGAATAGTTCTTTGCCTGACCCATTTTCAGAAAAAAAAAAAAATAAAAATAATCAGTATTATAATGTTTGGTCATTTTCTTTAGCCTATAATTTAGATGTGTCTACCCACATAACCATGTTTTCTAACTGCATTGTACATTTCTATTAATAACAGTGTACAAGAGAGAGGAAATGAGGTAGTCAAAGCAAAGGGAGGTAATCAACTACTGCCACGAATCAATAATAATGATAATAATGAGATTGACAAGAATAATAGGTACAGTTCAGATATGCCAGGAATAGCCTTGCATGGTTGATAAGTGAACACAATGATGTCGTTTTATTTTTGTTATTTCTTTCTTGAAAAGAGGCCAAGGTTTTCAGCCATAACAATCCATCATGGCTAGGCATTGATTTTGGATAACTGATTCTAGGTAATATCATAGAAAGCCATGATGGTGTGAAAATTATACTTGTTGATAGAGAATAGAGAAATTACACTGCAGAACAGGCAAGTTTGAATCTACAGGTTTCTCAGTACAGGATTACACAAAGAAAAGCCCCTTTTATGAAGAAAATGCTACCTAATACATTAAACTCATTGATATAATGAGTAAGATTTATTTTTTTTAAAAATCTATGAAAAACTTGCTTGCTCGAATCACTATATATATGGTGACACAG